ACGCCGGCCATGATTTGCGCCCCCCTCTTGGACGCTCCCCTCTTGGACGCCCCCGATGGAGGAAGATAGAGACGTTGAGCGTATCAGAGTCCATGGGGATGTAGGCGATCAGTTCTGCAAATCCCTGCGGGCCTGCGACCTCCTGATGTGAGGGCAGAGCTCCCTTGCACTGTGGCTCACCCCCTTCTCGCTCTCCCATGCAGAACGCCGTGCAACGACGACGCACCTCAGCACCGTAGCTTTCCGGGCCTCCGTGAACTCCGAGCCGACAGGCACGTCGGGCCTGAAGTTGGGGGAAGAGAATTATGCACATGCACCGATCCTGACAACGCCCATCCTTGACCCAGGATCGGTGCATATACCTTCTGGCCAAGGTAGGAGGGCGTATCCACCGATCCTGGGCTCAGGATGGTCCTGGCCAGAATCGGTGTGTGTGTGTGTATGTGTGCATTGTTCTTTTTCCTCTATTGAAGTCGGGGGGAGGGCCAAGCGCGGTCGTCTTCGAACACGAGGTGCGTGGCGTCGTCGTCGGACAGCCGGCCTCTGCGGTGCTCTTGGCCCCCTCTCGCGCCGGGCGGGCGCGCGCTCCGAGGGCGCGCGGGCTGGCGGGCGGGAGGGCCGCACTGGGGGAGAGACCCCGTGCGAAGCCCGCAGAGGTCGGAGCAGAGATGCCTCCTCCTCCTCCTCCTCCTCCTCCTCCGGCTCCCCCTCCCCCTCCTCCTCCTCCTCCTCCTCCTCCTCCTCCGCAGGCGAGGCGGCGGCGGCAGGGTCAGGTCGTGCCTGTTTCCCTACAGGGGGATTTTGGACGAAGGATAAGAAATACTCAACAAATGCTCAAGAGATGCCCAAACATACTCCAAAAATGGTCCCCAGACTATTTTTGGACCATTTTTGAATATTCCCCCCTCTATAGAGGGACAGGCCCGACTTCAAGGCAGGGCTTCGCGGCTTCGGCGCGCCCTCGGCGTGAGGAGGGCGGGTCAGGTGCGGCGCGCACGAGGACTTGGGGAGTGGTGGCGGGGGGCTCGCTGCCGAGGAGCAGTCGAGCAGCAAGGCGCGCGCGTGCCGCCCGGCGGGCACAGTGGGCCTGGTGGAGCCCCGTGGTGGCTTCTGGAGCGGCCCGCCCCTCCTGTGATGGGTACTCTGGGTTTTTTGACAAGCGTGGGGGGGTACCCTTAAGGCGGGCTTGTCCCTCTACAGGAGGAATATTCAAAGATAGTCACAAAATAGTCGGGGGATTTTTGTTTCGAGTATTTTTTGACCATTTTCGAATGTTTTGGCGTATTTTTAATTTTTCGTCGAAAATCCCCCTGTAGGGGGACACGCCCGACTTAAGGGTATCCCCCCGACGGGGGTCAACCGCGCCTCGCCGTCGCTCTGCGACGGGGGTCGGAGCGTCCTTCGGCGAGCGGCGGCGGCCCGCGACGGGGGTCGGATGTGGGGCTGTCGGCGGGTGACGCCCCCCCCGACGCTCAGAAAGACACTCGGAGCAGGGGTCCGCTCCATGTCACGCGCTGGCCTGTGCCCGTGTCCCGCGGCCGTGCCCTACTTAACGGGCGAAGAGCGGTATAACACAAACTCTTTCGTCGTCGGGGGCGCCTGCTGCTCGGGCCGCTGGAAAGTGTATATACATATTTAGACATATATAGATACATGCGAACTATTGCATCCAGGCGCCAACTATTGCAAGTCATATTTCACCTCTCCCTGCGGACTTATCTGCGCGAGACGCACTGCTCCAGCTTAAAGATACGCGAACACTGTGTACGAAGACCAACAGCAATCCTTGTTCATTTTGGACAGGGCTCGCTCTTGGCGTCGCCGCGGACGCTTCCCATCCGAACCGAGAGTCGCCTGCCCGACAGCGGCCACTATCGATTTTGGACGACATCTGCTTCTAGCTATCATACTAATTTCCTTCCATGCCCATATCTGGAGTGCCAGGCTGCTGGGGGAAGGCTTGCATTTGCCCCCAGGGCTGTTCACTTGATGCTTGCCCCCAGTGGTGCAGCGCATGCGTTCCTGTCGTGCGGCAGGTTGAGGTGGCTGGAGGTTCCAGCGTGCTGTCCGCTCCCCCTCCTCCTCCTCCTCCTCCTCCTCCTCCTCCTCCTCCTCCTCCCCCTCCTCCTCCCCCTCCTCCTCCTCCTCCTCCTCCTCCCCTCCCTCTCCAAATAAAAATCCAGATAAAGATCTGCGGGGAGGAGGGCAGGAACCCCGAGCGCGAGGGGTCCATCACCATCGTCGGCGCGGTGTCGCCTCCGGAGGGGCGGCGGGGGGGGGGATTTTGAGCGGGCCCCTCGCAGCCTGCGGGGGCCGAAGCCGGAGGCTACCCGAGAGGTGGGGGTTTCAGGGGGGATGGGCGAGGTCGAGGGTGACGAGGAGAGGGAGGAGGGACGAGTGGAGTGAGGCGGAGGGAGGATGTGGAGGGGTGAAGGATAGAGCGAGGGTGATTATGTGGAGGGATGTGGAGGGGTGAAGGATAGAGCGAGGGTGATGATGACAAGGATGACAGTGATGACAATGATGGCGATGATGAGGATGATGACAATGATGACGATGATGACAATGATGACGGAGACGATGATGACGGTGACGATGATGATGACGATGATGATGCTGATGATGATGATGATGATGATGATCACGACGACGATGATGAATATGATGATGAAGATGATGATGATGTTGATGATGATGATGCTGATGATGCGGATGATGATGATGATGATAGTGCTGGTGGTGGTCGTGGTGGTGATGGTGAGGATGATGACGATGATGATGATGGTTCTGATGATGAAGAGGATGATGATGCTGATTCTGATGATGATGACGACGATGAAGATGATGATGATTATGGTGATGCTGCTGATGATGATGATGATGTTTGTGATGATAGTGATGATGATGGTGGTGCTGATGACGATGCCGATGATGATGACGATGAGGACGATGCTGATGATGATCACGATGTGGCTAGTGGTAATGATGACGGTTGTGTTGGCGATGATGACGATGATGATGATTATGATGATTTTGATGACGATGATGATGATGATTCTGCTGATGATGATGATGCTGATGGTAATGACGATGATGTGGTGGTGGTGATGATGACGATGTTGCTGCTGCTGCTGATGATGATGACGGTGACGATGACGATAATGATTATGATGATGATGATGATGATTCTGATGATGATGATGATGATGATGATGATGATGATGATGATGACAATGATGATACTGAAAATGATGATGATGATGATGTTGACGATGATGTTGTTGCTGCTGCTGATGATGGTTGTGATGATGATGATGATGATGATGATGATGCTGGTACTGATAATGATGATGCTGATGTTGATGCTGATGATGATGATGCTGATGATGACGATGATCATGACGATGATGATGATCATGATTATGGTGATCATGGTTGTGATGATGATGATGATGATGATGATGATGCTGATCATTCTGATGATGCTGATGATGATGCTGTTGATAATGCTGATGCTGCTGATGATGATGATGCTGGTGATGATGATGAGGATGGGGATGATGATGATGATGATGATGATGATGATGATGATGATGTTGGTGATGGTGATGATGATGCTGCTGATGATGATTGACGTGATGATGCTGATGCTGCTGATGATGATGATGCTGGTGATGATGATGATGCTGCTGATGATGATGATTGACGTAATGATGATGATGCTGATGATGATGCTGATGCTGATGATGATGATGATGAGGATGATGATAGATGGTTGATGGTGATGATGATGATGATGATGATGTTGATGGTGATGGGATGGTGATGATGATGATGATGATGATGATGATTAAGATGATGATGATAGATGATGGTGATGATGACGATGATGATGATGATGATGATGATGATGATGATGATGATGATGATTCTGATGATGATGATGATAATTCTGATTCTGATGATGATGATGATGATGATGATTCTGATGATGATGATGATGATGATGATGATGATGATGATGATGATGATGATGATGATGATTATGATGATGATGATGATGATGATGATGATGATGATGATGATTCTGATGATGATGATGATGCTGCTGATGATGATGATGATGATGATGATGATGATGATGATGATGAAGATGATGATGATGATGATGATGATTATGATCGTACGTCTGCTGCTGCACTTCCTGCTGATTTTTGCTGCGGCCCCTCTCCGTCCTCCTCGTCCTCCTCGTCCTGCTGCTGCTGCTGCTGCTGCTGCTGCTGCTGCTCCGCCTTCCCGCTATCCCTACCCAGGCCGCCCACGTTGGGCCGTAGCAGATGGGGTCGAAGGATGCCGCCGCGGCGCCGATGAATCGGCACTCCAGAGCGATCCCGATCCCGATGAACTGCCCCTCACGAAGAACGCGATGAACCGATCCTTGGGATAGCGTGCACCGAAGAAGTCCTGGCAGGGGATGGCGTGCACAGTAGAGGCCCTCGCAGGGCGATCCAGAACCCGCTGTTCCTGGTTCGGGTGTCGCCGATGCATCGGCGAGGCATCGCCGATGCGGTGGTTTCTTCCGACGCCGTCTGCTCTGGCACCATCTCGGCAGCCTCCGCTCCCCTCACCCGTGGAGGTGGGCGGCAGGGAGGACGGGAGGCACGGCTGGCGCTGGGAAGGCAGCGTGCGATGTGGCGCCGCCGACCCGCTTGGCTCCTCCCCTCCCCTCCTGGGGACAGGTTTCGCGACGTCGGCCCCCTGGGGCTTCGACCTCCTGCCTGGGGGCAGACTTTCCTCCAGAGGAGTTCTCCGACGGTGCCATGGGAACGGCCTGCAGAGGTCAAAAACGACGACGAACTGGCCGTCCCTCACGACTTTTCAGCCACGCGCAGAGGGGGTTTTGGGGAGGGGGAGGGCTTCTTGGAAGCACCCCTGCTTCTTAGAAGGCGTTGGCCTTAGCTATAGATGTAGGGCCGGCGCCTTCTAAGAACGTGGGAGGGGCGGCGCCCACCAGGGGGGCCAGTGGGCGGCCTTCTGGCCAGGCGGGGGTGGAGGGTTTCTCCGAAGGGCTCAGGCGATCCGTCCTCCTCCCTCCTCCTCCTCCTCCTCCTCCTCCTCTCCTCCTCCTCCTCCTCCTCCTCCCTCCTTCTCCTCCTTCCCTCCTCCTCCGCTCCTCCTCCTCTCCTCCTCCTCCTCTCCTCCCCTCCCTCCTCCCTCCTCCTCCTCCTTCTCTCCTCCTCCTTCCTCCTCCTCCTCCTCCCTCCTCCTCCATCCCTCTCCTCCTCCCTCCTCCCTCCCTCCTCTTCCTCCTCCTCCTCCTCCTCTCCCTCCTCCCTCCCCTCCTCCTCCCTCCTCCTCCTCCTCCTCCTCAATCCCCTCCCCTCCTCCTCTTCCTCCTCCTCCTCCCTCCTCCTCCTTCTCCTCGGGTCGCCTATGGCCCCGGGGGAAACTGTGCAGGCGGGGGGTCTTCTGAGAAGGCGGAAGGCCTTCTTAGAAGGGCCTGAGTGCTTCTAACACGTCTCCTCAGGAACTGGAGTGGCTTCTGAGAAGCCCCCTGCTTTGCAAGGCCCGCAGTCTTCTGGGCAGGCCGCACTTTTTTTCCGCCTTCCCCACCCCCCTGCGCGCGCCGCCGAGAGGAGGAGGGACAGGTGGACAGGTCAGATCAGGTGGCCGAACGCCCAAGGGCGCGTCGACAGGCGCTACATTCATGGTGGCCACGGTGTGGCACGGTACGATCTGGCATTAGGAGCACGCGGCACCAGTGCTGGTTACTATAGCTGGTTCCGGTAGCGCCAGTACGGTAGCAGGAACCCGCGATACCAGTGCTGGTGCGGTGCCGCGATTGCGCGGTACTGGGACGGGCACGGTCCCGGAACCACGGCTGTTATCAGCGAGGTCGCATGACCCCAGTATGCTTTTGTCCTCCCCAGACAACCCAATCGAACTAAGTGGAGCCTTCACCAGGACGACCCCCCCAGGGAAAGTAGGGAAGGAAGGAGGCAGGAACGGAGGCACGAGACAGGGCCCTCCCCCCATCCCCCCAGGGGGGGGAGGCGCGCGGGGGTGGACCGGGGGGGGGGGCACGCGGGGGGAGAGGCGCACAGGGAGGGGGTTGGGGGGCGCTCGGAGCGCCCTGGCGGGGAGGCACGCCGTGGGGGGGGGGGCACACAGGGGGTTCTGTTGCAGGAGGGGGCGGCACAGGGTGGCGACTTCACCGATCCCGTCACCTCGGCCACCCTGAGCATCGTGCAGGCGCTGCCCTTCTCTCTTGAGAGGCAGCGGGGGTGCAGACGATTACGGTGATGACGAGATGGGGGCGAGGAGAAGGCTTGCCAGAGTGGCTCGTGCCTGTGCTGCACGGCTTCTTTTTCTGGCGTCCGCCTCCTCCAGGCGCGCTCACGAAGGACCCATGTGCGCGTCGGCCGCCCTGTGCACGTGTCCTCCCTTAGCCTTGCGCGTCCAGTTTGCACTTGGTTCGCCTTGCGTACCGTGAGGACGCGGATTGAGATGCCGCTCTTGTTCTTCGCCAGGGTGTCTTGCGGGAGCTCACCTCTATCTCCACCTTCGCGCTGGCAGACGTACCTTGAGCCTTGAGCTTGTAGGTCGAGCTGAGATTACGAACCCCTGTGCGAGAGGAGTCCCCTCCACCCGATAGATGTTTTCAGTTACGAGCGCGCTCTCCTGTCCGTGTCTCCAAGGCACCTCCAGTGCTAATTCGATCTTCCACATCGAGTCCACTGCGGTTGGAGTTTTCGGACACCGTCAGTCGGAGTCATGGTGCCAAAAGACGCCTTGGTTGTATGTCCGAGGCCCTCGAGGCCTCTTGGATGCCTGTGGGGATCTCTCGGGTGGCCTCTCGGAAGCATCTGGGAAGCAGTTTTGGGGTGTTTTGGGGCTTCTCGGGGGGGCCTCTGGGGGTCTCTCGGGGGCCTCTTGGTTTGGGCATTCTTGGAAGTCTCCCGAGCCGTCTTGGGGTGGTCTTGAGGGCCTCTTGGACCGTCTTGAAGCGTCGGTCGCCCGAAAGGGCGATGACGCTCGAATCCGTCAAAAGCCTGACGGAAATCCATCATGTTTGCCTCTTGGGACCCTCTTGGGGTTGCTCTTGGGCACCTCTTGGGGCGTCTTGAAGCCTCAGGCCATCTTGGGCGTCTTGGAGCGACCCTTGGGCGACCCATGGCCCTTTGGAACCGTCTCGTGGGCCCATCGGGGCCCTCTTGGCCCGCTCCGGGGCCCTCTTGATTCCCAGCAGGTCACGCGACAGCACGTGGGAAGCCATCAGAGCGCCTGGAGCTGGGCTGCGGGCCCCTGAAAGAGCATGTCGGTACTCGGTGCAGGGGATTCGTAAGGGACTTGAGGACACTCCAACTCGTGCCTCGAGGCATGGCGGCGGATGTGGGGAGGAGGAAATAATAGAGAAGGAGTAACCAAGAGGGAAGGAGGAGGAGCAGGAGCAGGAGGAGGAGGAGGAGGAGGAGGAGGAGGAGGAGGAGGAGGAGGACGAGGAGGGAGGATGAGGAGGAGGAGGGGATGTCAGGGTCCTCCTCCTCCCCCGCCACGCTTCGCGTATGCCTATCAGGCCATCCAGCATCGATGCCCAGGCGAATTGCCTTGATTAGGAGAGTTGGGGAGCATGCAGTGGAACAAAGAGCTGGGGAAGGCGTCAAACCAAAGTTTGGTATCGCCCTGAGCAGGCTCAGGACTGCTACATATGTACGTTCTCGGAACTTTCGAACGAGGACTGGCGGTGGAGAGTGACGAGGAGGCCGGGGGAGGAAGAGAAGGAACATGAGAGGAGAAGGACTTCTGGAGTTCCGGACATATCGACTAGGTTGTAGAACTTGGATTGCACCTTCCTTGCCTGTTAAGCTTTGCTGCGAACCTTCGGCCAGAGACCCCGAGAGATCCCGTCGAGGTAATTGCGTCGCTTATCGCTGGCGGAGGAGGAGGAAGGATGATGCAGGAGCAGGAGCAGGAGGAGGAGGAGGAGCAGGAGGAGGAGGAGGCGGAGGAGGAGGAGGGAGGAGGAGGAGGAGGAGGAGGAAGAAGGCGAGCAGGAGAAGGATCAGCCTGATCGACGGGGAGCTCATCTTGACGCGGAACCGCGGCTGGCCGTGCCAGGGGGGTATTGCGCCGCTCCTTTGGGCGACGTGATTTTTGTTCGGTGCGCGGCCTCAGCGGTGCGCGGGAGCGTTCGGGGCTGAGCACAAGAGGCGGCCTGCAGACCATCCCGTAACGCCGTGCCACCTCCCTCGTGCCTCCCCCCTCCTCCCTCCTTCCTCTTGCCTTTTGCCTCGTGCTCCCGGTCTCCCGTCCTTCCCCTCCTCCTTCCATTTTCATCCTCCTTCTTTCCCTCTTCCTCCTCTTCCCTCGTGCTCGTCGGCGTGCATCAGCCTGACGACACGGTCGGGGACCTGGCAGCGCCCTTGGTGGCGTCCACACCCCCGTTGGGGTGACCGACAGACTCGACGGCCTCAGCTCGCGCGCGTCCTCCTCCTCCTCTGCCCCCTCCCCCCTCCAGCCCGCCCAGGTGTTCTGGGGCCTCGACAAGAAGCTTGCGCAGCGGACGGGGGGGGAAGCCTTCTCCCTGCGCTCCCAGTCCTCGGGAGGGAGCGAGACGAGAGAGAGGAGGGGAGGACAGGCGGGGAGGGAGGAGGCACGACTCGGCGGCGCGCCGTTGGGGGAAGTGAGAGAGGGGGCAGGCCCTCTGAGAAGCCCCCTGTGTCTTCGGAGGGGGCTCCCAAGGCCTCGCAGAGCCGGCGGCCTGCAGAGCCTTCTGAGAAGGCCCGCCCCTGTCGGCCTTCCCCCTGGGGCGCGCCGCCAAACGGCAGGAAGTTCGGGCTGGCATTGGGCACTCGCGGAAGGGGAAGGGCAGGACTGCACCGGACCAGGGCTGGATCGTGGGAAATGGGAGGCCTGGACCGACAGGATGAGTGGACTGATCGGTGCCCCCAGCGCATCACCTCATTCGATGGAGGATGGGCGAAGCATGGCCCAGGCCCGCGAGGTGCGGCGTTCTGCTGGCTCACGCGGGCGCAGCAGCAGCTGTGCGTCCCGTGTTGGTCAAGGTTGGCGAGATCCCGCTTTGGCTCGCGTGGCGCGGCGCGCTGCCAGACCTCGCCCATGGGCGCATGACAGAGGCGGCAGTTGTGCGGGACCGAAGCATTTTCTTTAGTCCCAGCTTCTCTCGTGTCCTGCGCGGGCTCCTCGAAATGGAGCGGGGCAGTCAGGCAGTACTTTCCTGCAGGCAGGAGGGCAGGGCCATAGTCGTTTTGAGTCAGGCCGGTCTGAAGAGGCGACGTGGTCGCCCAGAGCCCGCCCAGAGCGCCTGAAAAATGAGCCATTCCAATCACAGCCTTGAGATCGTCATTTATTGTATTCTACACTCCTGGACCTCGCCCATGGGCGCACCACAGAGGCGGCAGTTGTGCTTGATGCCTCGACCTGTCCACCACCCTGGCGCGACATCCTCTCATTCACCACAACCGCTGCGAGCCTACTCTCCCCTCAACTCAACCCGCTGATCACGACTCTAGACCGACACCACCTGCCCATCCACTCAATCCCACATGCGGGTGTTCTCTACGGAAGGTTCGCACCGTGTCGACCAGCGACGACCGTAGGACGCCGCGGGCGACTCAGAATCGGTCGATGTCGAACGATCTGACGTTCTGGAAACAGCCGATCGATCACGTTTGAACGATCCCCGCTTTGTCAGGAATCAGCTCTGGGGTTGACACCACACGAACACGCGGTGCGGGTGGTCTTTACGACCCCCACCCTGTGAGTGCGGCAAAGGTCCGTGGACGGCGACTGCCAGTCTGGCGCCGCGCGGCGCGGCGTGCCGCTGGGGCCCCCCAGGAGTTCACGACAGCGCTGGCAGCGGCAGGCTGCACTCGAGGAAGAAAAACGGCATACACACGATATTTGGAGGTCCGCGCGGGTTCCTCGGATCGGCGCTGGGCCCTCCTGGCGGCGCCTCCAGCGCCGCTCCTGGCGCGCTCCGCACGCCAGGGAGGGGGATCCGTCGCAGATCCAAGTTTATGTTTATGCCGCTTGTTCTTCCTCTACTCACCACCCACCAAGCCACCCCAACCCATCCGGAAGGTCCCAACTTGCCCTCCATTCCCAACGGGGGGGCGTCTGGGAGCATCGAAAATCCACATGTGGAACCCGTATCCCCCCCTAATCGAAATTTGGGGGTCTTCGGGTTGGGTTGGGGTGTCTGGTGGTAGGTAGTCATCTACATAGGGAGAGAGGAGAGGACGCATGAGACGGAACAGGGGTCTGGGAAACGCAAGGCTAGAGTTCGCCAGTATTCGTGTTTGTCGCTGCTTTTTGACGGCCACGTCCTGAACTTTGACGTGGGATTTTCGCAGCGGGATGTCGCGTCAAGTCTCAGATTGGGTCTCGTCATTTTCCTGACGGCCCCGTCAGGCCAACCCGAGTCCCCCGAACATGAGTCTCTCTCTTCCCGAAGGTCGGGCGACGAAATCTATGCAGATCCTTTGCTCCTGGCCAAGCCAGGAGGGCGTGGCGTATACATCGCTGCTGGGTTCAGGATGGGCCTGGTCAGGCAGCAGTGGATATGTATAAATTTCGTCGCCCTACGCAGGGAGGGACACTGTACGGGCAGAGAGATGAGGAGGAAGTAGGCGAGAGGAGGTGGGACGAGGCGGGGAAGATGGGGGGCAGTATGAGAAAGAACCTTCCGATGCAATGTGTCGGCGGCGAGCGAGGGTGGGAAGTGAGCAGGAGGAGGTCTTCTCAGCAGGCGCCGGGACTTCTTCAGAGCCCCTCGGCCCTGAAGAGGGTTCCTATGTCTTCGGGGAAGGCTTCGAAAACTTCTCAGAAGGCCGGGGAACTTCCAAGCCTTCTGAGAAGGCCCGCCCCCACAGGCGCTCCGCCTAATGTCAAGGGAGGGAAAACCATCTGGACCGGACAATTGGCGTTTACCAGGCAGCCCTGGGCGTTTCCTAAGCAGCCCTGCCCTGCTTGCTTCCTTCTTTGGGCGCGTTTGCGAAACGGCTTCGTGTGTCGGGGTGCTTATTATCGGGGTGGATTTTCTCCCTTCTATAGCGTAGCGCCCAATCCAGGCCCAGCGATCTTCAGGAGGGGAAAAAACACACAGACACAATTCATCGTCGATCCCCAGGGAAATATGGGAAAATATGGGACGCGGGGGGGGAAGACGAAAACCCAGAACATATGAGAACATATAGGGGAAACCTTTTCTATTTGTGCGTATTCACTTGGGTGTCCCAGGGCCCCTTCAGATCTCCTCCTTCGACCGGGCGAGCCGGTCGGCCAGAGAGGGCCAGCCGGCTCTCGGGCGCGCCTTTTCAGCGTGTGGCGGGGCGGTGCCGGGCTCTCTCACTCGGCAGCGCCCCCCCTCTCGGAGGAGGCACTTCCCCGCCATGGAGAGGACGAAGGAGGATGGTGCTGCTGCTGCTGCGAGGAGGAGGAGGAGGAGGCGGAGGAGGAGGAGGAGGACAGGGAGAGAAGGCAGGAGAGGAGCACAGCAGAAAGCGCGAGTCACCGCAGAGTTGCCCCTCCCCTCGGAGGAAGCACTTCCCCTCGATCAACTGGAACATCTCCTTCTCGAAGTACATCCGCGTGCTTGAGCCCCACTTCTCCGAGAAGTGCCCACTCTCCCCGTTTCGCGCAACCCACCCGCTGCCCCTTCTTAGGAGCTGGCCGCTGGCCTCGCCCTGAGTCTGATTGGGGAGATTGTGTGGAGGAGTAGGATGATGATGATGATGATGATGGTGGTGGTGGTGGTGGTGGTGGTGATGATGCTGCTGCTGATGATGATGATGGTGCTGGTGGTGGTGGTCATGATGATAATGATGATCATGATGATAATGATGATGATGATTATGATGAGGATGATGATGATGGTGGTGGTGGTGATGATGATGATGAGGAGGAGGAGAAGGACCAGTGTTCATCAACGATGTTGCAATCAGTCCTCCTTCGAAGTATTCTCTTCATGGGCTCCTATAAGGATGCCTCTTCACATTGGGAAGAGCCCCGTTGGAAGGCAACTGTCTGACAATCTTCAACCGTGCCAACGCACCATTCCTGGGACTTCGACGCCGCGAATCAACGTTGCTGTTGCGACCTGACGATCCGAAATCGTGCCATAAAATCGTTTTAGGGACGTCAACACCGCAAATCAACATGACTCTCGCGTCTCGACAATCTTAGATCGTGCCAGAACACTGGGACGACAACCATAAGAGTCCTTGAACCTGTTGTAAACTGTTAAGACGAACGTGGCGGTGCTCAGGCGAGAGCCACAGTCAAAAAACGACCCGTCCTCCATCCGTGAAACTCTTGCAAATCTTGAAAACGAGTGTGCGCGGCGCTCAGGCGAGAGCCACATTTTGAACATGGCCCGCCTTCCATCCGTGAAACTCTTGCAAACTTTCAAAACGAATGTGCCCGGCGCTAAAGCGAGAGCCACATTTTCGAAACAGAGTGCAACGAGTGTTAACTTAATTAACACTCCTTAAATCAAGCGGGGCGGTACTAGAGAGAGATCTCAAGACAGCCACCACATCACACCTCCCTCGTACCCCCCCCACCCAATCGCAGAGCAAGGACAGGAGTGAGGGGAGGACGGGAGGACAGCTCAGACAGCCCGCTTCCCGCGGTTGACACGTAGAGCGGGCCGATCAAGATGGTCATCATCGTCTGGTGGTCGGAACGAGTTCGGCGGGAAGTGGAACGGCGTTGCCTGAACAGCATGTGCTCTGAGCCAGGCACGTGCCACGGCATCCCGAGCATTCCACCAATCAGCACCAGGAACGACGGCGTGAGGTCGACGATGCACACGAACAGCTTGACCAGGTGCTCTGAGCCAGACGTGCGCCACGGCATCACGAGCACTCCACCAAGCAGCACCAGGAACAACGACGTGAGTAGAAGGGCCAGACTCGGCCGTCACAGCCTCCTTCTGGAAGTCGACGTCGAGACGAAAGCGTACAGGTACAGCAGGCACAGCTTGAAGACCAGCAGGCTCTCGATGAGGAAAGAGTTTCCCAGGATCTCGAGGACCAGCAGGCTCTCGAAGACCAGCAGGCTCACGAAGATCAGCAGGCCCTCGATGAGGAGGAACATCATGAAGACCAGCAGGCTCTCGATGAGCAGCAGGAACATCATGAAGACCAGCGGGATCTCCACGAAAGTTGTATAGACCCACTTCAGGAGGATCCAAATGACCAGGAAGTTCGAAACGACACGGCTCAGGAAGGTCGTCAGCAGGAACAGCTTGAAGATCATAAGGTTCTCGGCGAGCAGCGAGTTTTCCAGGCTCCAGACCAGCAGGCACTCGAAGACCAGCAGGCTCTCGATGACCAGCAGGCTCTCGAGGAGCAGGAACATCAGGAGCGTCACCATGATGTAAATCAGGAAGGTCGTCGTAGCGGCTCGCATCTGTGGCTGGCGGTGCCCAGCAACCAGGAGCGAGCTCTGCATTCACATGAACAGGAAGTCGGGGCTGGAAGGGATCGGCCTCGGCGTTGAGCGGAAAGGCCATCATCTTCAGCGTCGACTCGAGGACAACGGCCCGAACAGCCGCAGGCAGCGGCGGCATCCCGCTCGCGCATGGCGGCGGGGCGTGGCGGCACCAGTTGCCAGTCTCCAGGGCGTCAATGGTATCCTGGAGCTCCGCGTCGTCGAGCCCCACCAGGCGGGCCGCCGCGATCGCGGCGCCCAGCGTGGGAATGTGGCCGCCCAGGCGATCTCCAAGGCGCCAGTGGGCGTCGAGGGCGACACGGAGGCCACGCAACCGGTAGGACATAGCGGCGGCCCTCGTCTGCCCGAGCTGCGCCCTCCGTTCGCGTCGAAGGCGCCGAGCCAGGGTCCGAGCACTCGCCGCAGCCCAGGCTTTGCCGCCAGCAGTGACAGCACGAGACATTGCGGCCGCTTGCGCGCCTGCGCCTGGAGCAGGCGCGCTGGCGAGGGCCTCCCGAAGCGCGGCTCGCTTGAGCCAAAATGGCTACGGAACCCCTACCGACCCTTGTCGGGGTGCGACATGGAGGAGTCATATTCGGGAGCGAACAGTTAGCACGACTTGCGTAGAGAGTAGTTAGCACAGCCAGCACGCGGTGCTAACTACTCCGCGCCGGACTTCAGGCTTGAAATCTTGCCTTTTCGGGCGTTGCAGAAGGATTCCAGCCCCGCCTGTGCTAACTACTCCTTGGCAAGCGCGTGCGAACTGCTGTCCCGTAAAGGCTGGAAGGGTCCAACCCCGGGCTCATACTCAGCGCTCAGCGCGGCACACGTCACACGTCGCACACCTCCACGGCATTGGTCACGACTGCTTGGGCGGCCTGCGCAGGCCTCCAGCCGGGGGGAGGAGGAGGAGGAGGAGGAGGAGGAGGAGGAGGAGGAGGAGGAGGAGGAGGAGGAGGATTTTTTACCGCAAAGGTCTGATAAATCTGGGCCCGTGCGAAGGGCCAAAATTCGGCTGGAAACTTTGCTGCAAGTGTTCCGTCTGTGTGTGCAAAGAGATAGTGCGCTGCCACACGCAGCTGTTTCACGGGCCAGGGCCAGAGGGAGGAGGACGAGGAGGAGGAGGAGAAGGAGGAGTAGGAGTAGGAGGAGGAGGATGATAATAATATTGCTACAAAGAATACTAGTTAGAGTAGTCGTACCCGTCGTAGTAACTGTAACGGTAGTAATCACAATAGTCATACAACCACTAATACTATCAATAAGACTTCTCATACGACGAATAACAGTTAATACGAATAATAAGCCGAATTCGAATACGAATACGGACCATATGATAAATAACAATGACACGAATAATATTGATATCATGAAGAAAAGTAATAATGATAACAATACTATATAACCACGTGGCGAAATATACGAATTGCCTCTAAAACGTATCATCCCCTGGCTGGCCATACTGTTGTACGACAGATCCGTATTGAACGGCCTCAAACCCAGGAGAAGGGCATTACGGCGGCGAGGCGGCGAGGCGGCGAAGTCGTCTTTGATGCTCGAGGTATTCAGAGTGGGACGGGGATAAGGATGCCCTCCAAGATAGCACAACCTGACGCGCAGGCGGTCTAGACAACGATTGAGGGGAAGGTGGAGTCAAAGGAGGTTGATGAGCAGCAGTAGGAGCGCTGCCAGGATGTGCCTTCTTCGTGCCCACCCCCTTCCCGACCTTCTGTGGCTGGGCGTGCTGTCTACTCTCTACACCGACGACGACGACGACGACGAGCCGCTGCCCAGGCCACCGAGGGCCACCTAAGGTCGCCGGGGGCCGCCGGAGGGCCGCTGGCAGGCCGCCGAGGGCGTCCGAGGGCCGCCGAGGGCCGCCGAGGGGCCGCCGAGGGGCCTCCGGGGGGGTCCCTCGGAGATAGCGCAGCCTGGTTCCCCCCCGTTTCTTTCTGATCAGCTCGCGCCGGGCCTGACGACCCAACCCGTCATCGGCGTTGTCGGTCGTCGTCGTCGTCGTCGTCGTCGTCGTCGTCGTCGTCGTCGTCGTCGTCGTCGTCGTCGTCGTTGTCGTCTCATTCTTTTGGATGAGCAGCAGTAGCAGGAGTAGCAGGATGTGCTTTCTTCGTGCCCGCACCCCTCCCCCTCCTGTGGCTGGGTGTGCTATCTACTCCCCGTCCCGTTTCCATGGGAAATCGCAGATTTCCGCCGCCGAACGAGACGGCTCCGGCCGCATTTTGGCGAGGGCACGTTCCCCGAGCCATGGATTGGGCGCGCGGTCGCCAAATCCATGGATCGCTAATCCATGTTTGCGCGCCCCCGAGTTGGGTGTTCTATCTACTCTGCCCAGGCTGGCATTCGCCTCCCCCCGAGCGAAGCAAGGTTCACGATCCCTCGTAAGTCGCGGTGCGTCCGCGCTTCCAGGGCCTTTTTAAAGTGCACAGGATTCACGCGCCCTGGGCCACGATCCCTTATAAATTACGCTGTGTCCGCGACCCCAGGAGCAGGCTACCTAGTCAATTACGGACGATCCCGCCTGTGCAATCTGCGAGAATTCGCCAGGAAGTTGCGCGGCAAGTTTTGTTCGGATCATAACGCCGATAACGGATCACTCTCTGAAATTGCAACTCGAAATTTGACGTATCAAATGCGCGTACGGTGTGGGAGCATCGATTATTAGTCGGACGTCTGAGCTTTTCTGGCGCGTTGTTACAGTTTCCGCGCCCCACAGGAGCAGGATACCTATTGCATCACGTTGTGTCCGCCCCCCTGTGCCAGGGTCTTTTTAGTACAATCACATACGAAACACATCTTTCACTGCAACAGCGCGCCAGAAAAGCTCAGCCATCTCGATTAATAATGTGTATGGTAAACCGTACGCGCATTTGACACGTCAAATGTCACGTCGAGTTGCAATTTCAACAAATGGCCCGTTACCGGCGTTTTGGTCCGAACAACATGTTGTTGGCAACTTCCAACGATATAATCTCAGATAGCACAGGCGCGATCGTCGTCGTGCTAACTACTCGTTCCCGAGTAAATATATAAGGAAGAGAAGGGATGGAGGAGGAGGAGGAGGAGGAGGAGGGTGGGGGAGGGAGGGAGGAATGGAGGGAGGGGGGGTGATGATGGTGGCGATGATGATGGCGGTGATGATGGTGGGGGTGATGATGTCGATGAGCGTGAGAAGGGTGACAGTGGTGGCCATGGTGCTGGTGCTGGTGATGATGATGGTGATAATTGGATGTGTGTGTGTGTGTGTGTGTGCGTGTGTGCCATGCGGCATCGCCGCGCCTCGGAGCGACATGGCTGCGGAGAAGGAGGCTGAGGTCCTGCGAGGTGATCGGAGGCATTCGGAAGTGGTCGGCGCGTTCCTCCTCTCTCTCACGCATGCGGGCCGAGGCGGCCACCGCCACGCTCGCTGGGAAACTCGGGCCGCCTCCGCGGCCGAGGCGCGGCCGCTGGCCGCCCCCGCGGCGACACTCCACGCGCTCCTCGTCGCCCGCCGCCTCGGCTTCCGGCAGCGCGTCGAGCGAACCGCCTGGCCAGCAGCGCCCTGGCCGGCTTCGTCCCACGCATTCTTCCGCTCACTGCATCGCGTGATGAGAATCTTGCCTCGGACATCGTCCCGCGCGCGCGTACGTCACCACCCATCAAGGCACCCCCACCCGACCCGAAGGCCCCAATTTGCAGTCCCTTCCCAGTGGGGTGGGCGTCGGGAAACACTGGGCAGACACAGATGGAACCCGCACCCCCCCAACCCGAAACTCGGGTCTTCGGGTTGGGCTTGGGTTTGCATAGTAGGTTGCCAGTACGCTTACCTGGCCTTGCCTGCGGCACTCGCGCCGTGTCCCTCACGAGCAGCAGCAGCGGGCGAAGCACCAGGGAGGAGAGGAGAACGACGGCGGAGTGTGCACGAGGCCGTCCAGTGCCCGCCGAAGGCTTGGGGAGCTTCAGCCCCCGGGGTCGCGTTTAAGGCACCCTGTGGTGCTTCGCCTGCGTTGCTGTCGTGGAAGAGAACATTCCGCTCGCGGCTTCCCCTAGAAAGACAACACTGGAGCCCTCGCGCGGCGCGCAGAAGTTGTGATACCCAGTCAGGACGTCCGCCCCATCAGATATGCGTCGTCTCTCGCGCGGCGATGCTCCGACGCAGGCCACGACGCAAGTCCGACGTGAACCCGACGTGAGTCCGACGTGAACCCGACGTGACTCCGACGTGGATCCGACGCAAGCTGGGCCTCACGTTGCCGGCGGCTCCGACGTGGGATCCGACGCGAGCGGGATCCGACGTGACTCCGACGCTCGCGGCATCCCCCGCCCGGCCTGCGGGGCTTGCGCCGGCTCCCCCCCCCTGCCGCGGGGGGGGGGGCTGCCTCGCGGGGGTGGCCTCGCTCCCCTGGCCGTGGGGGCGCCCTGCCTGCAAGGCAGGGCTCGAGCGGAACGGCGTTTCCGCGATCCCGTGGACCGTTCTTTCGTTTTGCTGTCGCGTCGCAGCAGGGGCAGAACGAAGGCGGAACGAAGGAGAAGGCAGGCGGGCAGTCCCATCGAGTCGATGCTCGGCCCGGAGCCGGGCGCGACTGCGGTAGACCTCGAGCCTCGCTGCTGGTGCTCGAGTGAAGGGCACGCAGGAAACCGCCGTCGTGCGGAAGAACAAATCCTTGTGCAGTGGCGCCTCTGGCCAGTCTGATCCACAGAAATATCGTACGAACATCGGAAACTAAAAACACTACTTGGCTCGAGCCCTACTGGTGATCGTTTTTTCAATCATTGTTTTGCCGATCGGCGCGGGCCCTCGCACCCCTCCCCCCCCTCCCCCTGGAGTGGACCTTGGCTGCTTCGGGGCGCCGGTCTCGAGCAGGTGGAGCCTCTCTCCCCCGCAGGGCGCACGGCTCCAAACAGCCGCACGAAGCAGAGGTCCAGAGCCAGGCCCCCCAGGCCTCCCCGCCCAGGCAGTCGTGCGCCCTGGCGGGCGCTGGGGGGCGTCCATCTCGTGGTCCCTCGCCCCGTTTCGGCGGCGAGCCCAGGGGGGGGAACGAGGAGTGGCGGGTCTCTTCGGAGGGCTCGGATGTCCCCTGGCCTTCCGAGAAGTTCTCTGAGCCTTCCCCGAAGAAGCAGGAAACTCCTCAGGAGCGCTGGGGCTTCTGAGAAGTCCCGGCGCCTTCTGAGAAGGTCTTCTTCTCCTTCTCATTTCCCCCCCTCGCTCGCCGCCGACCAGTATGGGGACGATCGAGATGGGTACGTAAGAACGAATGGGTACCAAGCCCAACAGCAGTTTCTGCTCATTCTGAACAGGGTTCGCTGTCGGCGTCGCCACGATCGTTGTCCGTTCGAGACAGAAGGCCGCTTGCCGAACAGCCGCCGCTGTCGGTTTTGGACAGCACTTGTTGCTGGGCATCGTACCCGTTTTTTCGTACCCACTTCGGGCGTCCAAACAGTTCGCTGCGCCCCAGCGACCAGTGCTTGGCGCACCCGTCGCTGGTCGCCGGCGCGGGAGCCCGCGCGAATCCGAGCCCTCTAGGAGGAGGAGGAGGAGGAGGAGGAGGAGGAGGAGGAGGAGGAGGAGGAGGAGGAGGAGGAGGAGGAGGAGGAGGAGGAGGAGGAGGAGGAGGAGGAGGAGGAGGAGGAGGAGGAGGAGGAGGAGGAGGAGGAGGAGGAGGAGGAGGAGGAGGAGGAGGAGGAGGAGGAGGAGGAGGAGGAGGAGGAGGAGGAGGAGGAGGAGGAGGAGGAGGAGGAGGAGGAGGAGGAGGAGGAGGAGGAGGAGGAGGAGGAGGAGGAGGAGGAGGAGGAGGAGGAGGAGGAGGAGGAGGAGGAGGAGGAGGAGGAGGAGGAGGAGGAGGAGAGGAGGAGGAGGAGGAGGAGGAGGAGGAGGAGGAGGAGGAGGAGGAGGAGGAGGAGGAGGAGGAGGAGGAGGAGGAGGAGGAGGAGGAGGAGGAGGAGGAGGAGAGGAGGAGGAGGAGGAGGAGGAGGAGGAGGAGGAGGGAGGAGGAGGAGGGGAGGAGGAGGAGGAGGAGGAGGAGGAGGAGGAGGAGGAGGAGGAGGAGGAGGAGGAGCTTGAGGAGGAGCTTGAGGAGGAGGACGAGGAGGAGGAGGAGAAGGAAGGATGAGCCCTCTGGCCCCTCCCCCCTGTTCCCTCCCCTCTTCTCTTTCGGGTATCCCCTTCCTCCCCCCTGTTCCCTCCCCCTCCCTAGTTGTGTGTTCCTTCCCCCTTCCCCCTCCCACTCCCCCCCCCTTCTCAGTCGTCTCTCCTTCTCCCCTTTGCCTCTCCTGGTCCTTCTTCTGTTTCTTCCCTTTTCCTTCAGTGTATGGGGGAGGGGGGGTGGGAGGGATGAGAGAGGGCTGAGGGAGGAGGGAGGGAGAGGGGAGGGGAGGATGGAGGGCGGAGTGAGAGAGGGGGGGAAGGATGAGGGACGAGGAATGGTGGAGGAATGGTGGAGGAATGGGGAGGGATGAGGGATGAGCCTCCGCTCCCTCCTCCCTCCCCCCTCCTCCTGCCATGCAGCTCTCCTTGCCCTCAGGTTTGACCCAGATTACGGCATGCTGCAGCAGAAGATGAAGGAGATCCTGCAGAAGGAGGACGATCTGCAGGAGATCGTGCAGCTTGTCGGCAAGGACATCTGCGGTCTCCTCCCACCTCCAGCTTCTGGTCTCCAGCTCCCGATCTACTTTCCCTCCCCCCACCTTCGTTCCTGATACCTCTCCCTACCCTTCCGCCCCCTCGCTTCGGTGGTCCAGCTTGGCGCGGAGGAGGCCGGTGCGCTTCTTGCTGACGTGGTGGGGGCATGGGAAGAGCGGCGAATCTAGATGGTGAGGTACGCAAGTGCGGCCCCTGATGAGCGAGTGGGTGGGTCCGTGTCACGGGCCCAGCAGTCATCGTGGGTGGATGCGTCGGTAGTTATCTGGAGTCCTCCGGGCAGGTGGTGGTCAGTAGTGGGGGCTCCCCGCTGGCGGGCTGCGCCGTTTTGTGGCCGCTTCCACTCTCGGATGCCCGCCGCAAGGTGCAGCAGGTGGTGGTCGTTTTGGGGGTTGACCTGATTAGAGGCGCAAGTCGTGGGTGATCTGGCCACCGTAATCGTGCTGGCCGAAGGTGGGCTGCGGCGTGCTATGCGGAGCGCCTGGCGACGCTGCTGCGCTGCTGTGAGTGTTGGCGTATATCGTGTGTCTCCGCGTCGTGGGTGCCATGGATGGCCATCGTCAGGTCGCTTGGCTATGGCCGTAGTGGTGGTGTCGTGGAGGCCGTCGGGTCCCCCCGCTTTGGCTGCTGTCGGCACTGCTGTTTGGTGTCTGCGCTGGTGGGTGGGGCCCTCGGTCGGGGCCTGCCTTCTTCTCGCGGGCGCGCGCCACCAGAGGGTCAATCTTCTCTGCCTGAGCGAGTGGAGGTCGTTGATCTTACTGAGGGCAGTGCGACCACGGGCCATGTCGCCGTTCGTGGCTGTTCAGCTCGTGCAATCGTTGGTGGAGCCGTGGTCCGTGTTGCGATGTAGTCGGTGTCGGTGCTGTGGCATTGGTGACAGATGCCAGTTTGCTGTTGTCCCTCTCTGTGCTACCTGATCCCGCAATCGCGACAGCGGGCGCACGGGTCGCTGGAGTCGAACAAGCCTTGGGGTCCTCGCGTGGCTGGTCCGTCTGGGCCGTCTCGGCCGCTGGTTGTCATACCCCGTCAGTCGGTGGTCTGCGGGTCTGTCCCATCGCTCCTGTGGCCTGCTGAGCTGGTGGCAGCCGTAGGTGGTCATTGCTGGAGCCGTGCTTAGTAGGCGCTTGTAGTGCGGCTGGAGTAGCTGGTCCTGTGTACAGTGGCCGACGGAAATTGTGCATCGCGAGCGGTGTGAGCGGTGGCTTGTTGTGCCTGCGGACGCTCTTGCACCAGGTTGGCGATTGTTCCGTTGAAGTGGTTCCCACCTTGGTATGACCGTCAGGTTCGCATCGGGTGGCTGCTGTGCGAGGGCGTGGACAGCCTGCAGGACGTGCGTCTGGTTTTCACTTAGGGTTTGGTACGTGCGCTTGAACTTGGCGATGGGGCCCATCTCCATATAAGTGATGTTGATTTCGACCTCATCCTGAGGCGGTAGGTGATGTGGTGGGGGAGGTGTTGTTGCGTTAATGTCGGGACGGCAAGGTGGATCGTACCGCACCTGTCGCTCGCCGTTGGCCTCATAACGAAATTTCTCCTGGTTGCTGGCGTTCGGGTACCTCTTCAGGGATCGATCAAGATGCGGTTGTTAAGGAAGTCCAATTGCGTCACTCCCGCGATTGGGTTGTGGTAGTATGCCTCGTCCCAGCCGCGGACTGGATCTGTGAGATATGGCTGTTGGATCTGCATGTGGTACATGCCCGCTGGTACGCAGTTGGGGTCGGAGTGGCGGTAAATCGGCTTGGGCACTTGGACGTAGGGTGTTTTTTGCTGTACCGCCTACCCCTCCTCGCAGCCCCCCTCCCCCTCTTCCTCCTAGCGCCTCCTCCTCGCTCTCCCTCCTCGCTCCTCCTCCTCGCTCCTCCTCCTCCTCCTCGCTCCTCCCTCCTCCTTCTCCTCCTCCTGCTCCTCCTCCTCCTCCTCTTCCTCCTCATCCTCCTCACCCTCCTCCCCTACCATACGGTCGTATCCTTCTCCTTCCGCCCCTCTGCGGGGCAATCGCGTTTGATCTTTGGAAGGACGTATTTCCCTGAGGGGCCACGGCCTCCCCCGCTGTGCTTTCAGTAGGGCGCGCCCTGGGGCGCGCTGCAGCGTCTCGCCTCGTCATCACCGCCCGCTCACCCCCCAGGCATCGATGCCCAGTCCCACACGCCTGCGCTCCGATTCCTGCCTTCGACCCCGCCAGCCTGACCCCCTGGCCAGCACCCACCCGCAGGACCCAGGCTCCCAACACCCCACCTCACTTGGTATCGCTCGGACGTTTTTTTTTTTTTTTTTTTTGTTTTCTCGGCGGGGATTAGCAAGGAGCATTCTGGATCATCCTGCGGAAAAGCCACGCACGAAGCCGGAAAACGACACAGGGAGTGGACGTCCGAGCGACGGGGAGCTCAGCACCCCGACTCCCCCAGCTTCCGGCCTGCAGCCCGCCCGAGCTCCGCAGGGCCTGCGAGAGGCCGCCGGCCCCGCCCGCCCCGTGCCCAGCCCGGGCAGAGGGCGCGCGCGCTTCGCCGCGGGAGAGCCCGCGCGTCGGCGCGCCTCGCTCGCGCCCCCGACATCCGCCGACATGATTTTTCCAGTCCGCGGCCCCAGAGGTCTATCAAATTCAGGAGGGGAAAGAAACACACAGACACAATTATTCGTCGATTCCCGGGAAAATATGGGAAAATATGGGAAGTGGGGGGGAAGACAGAAACCCAGAAAATATGAGGAAATATGGGGAATATGTTTATTTGTGTGTATTTATTTGTGTGTCCTGGGGCCCCTTCACAGAGGTCTATCAAATGATGGACCGACGAGTTGGTTCTCTTTTGTGGTTCCAGCGCTCAGAGCACAGGTGCAGAGCGGCCAAGGGAGCTGGATTCTGCGCAGTGGAGGTAGGGGATCCCGACCCCTGCCCCTGGGGGGTGGTTTGTCGTCCCGGATCTACTTTTCGTGTTTCCCGGGCCCGATAGTGGGCCCGGGAGGCCGAAATCCAGGAAACAGCGCCGGATTGAAGAAGTCGTACCCTCGGATTTTCTGGGTCGCTCGCTCCTTCTTGTCCTCCTCTTTCTTCCCCGTCGTCGTCCTCGCTCCGTAGCCTCCCCTGCCCAGGACTCCCTGTCCGAGGACCAGAAGTGCACCCTCGAGGCCCCCCGCCGCCGTCGCCGCCGCCGCCTCGCGCAGCGCGGCGGCGGGCGCCCGTTTTCCTCTTCGCGCGCGTGAGGCTCGCCGAAGGGGTGACCTTCGACGTTGTCAGACTTCCAGCCTATGGAGAGCTTTCCAGTAGCTGCGCCTCGCCGGAGGGGTGATCTTCGACGTTTTCTGAGGCTTTCGTCGGTTCCCGGAGGTTTTCCAGCCTCGGGGGTGCTTTCCAGTAGCTGCCCCTCGCCGAGAGCGCTCCGGGGGTGCCCAAATCGTCCCGAACGGCCGCTGGAGACCTGAGCTACGACCCGAAAACTAGGCGACGAGGATCTTCGACATGCCAGTCCTTCTCAGGCGGCGAGGCTTCTCAGAAGCCCTCTGGCCTTCTGAGAAGCCCCTTGTTGCTCTAGGAGTACGTCGGGCCTGTCCATCTACAGGAATAACATTCAAACATAATCGAGAAACAGTCTGGGGACGATTTTTCCCAACCATCCTGTGGTGTTGGGTCCTCGTTTTGAAGAGACGGTCCCCGCGTTCCTCTTCTCTCCTCCTCCCCCTCCTCCTCCCTCCTCCCTCCTCCTTGCGCTTCACCCACCCAGCACAGCGTTTCGTGGTCCCATATGGGGGCTCCACCGAAGGTCCCAGTGGCACCGCCCGCATGCGTCCGCCACCACCCAGCACAGCCCTTGCTCCTTGCGTTTCACCCACCCAGTACAGCGTTTCGTGGCCCCATATGGGGGCTCCACCGAAGGTCCCAGTGGCACCGCCCGCATGCGTCCGCCACCACCCAGCACAGCCCTTGCTCCCTGCGTTTCACCCACCCAGTACAGCGTTTCGTGGCCCCATATGGGGGCTCCACCGAAGGTCCCAGTGGCACCGTCCGCATGCGTCCGCCAGCACCCAGCACAGCCCTTGTTCCCTGCGTTTCACCCACCTAGTACAGCGTTTCGTGGCCCCATAAATGGGGGCTCCACCCAAGGTCCCAGTGGCACCGCCCGCATGCGTCCGCCACCACCTAGCATAGCCCTTCCTCCCTGCGTTTCACACACCAAGCACAGCGTTTCGTGGCCCCATAAAAGGGGGCTCCACCGAAGGTCCCAGTGGCACCGCCCGCATGCGTCCGCCAGCACCCAGCACAGCCCTTGTTCCCTGCGTTTCACCCACCCAGTACAGCGTTTCGTGGCCCCATAGGGAGCGCCACTGAAGAAAATATTCTCGGAATTAACATTTGTATATGGTTGGGTCTTTCGCCAGGCTAATTTCTGATGTATTTACCTAACGGCGAAGACTGATAGGTTTCTAATGGGGTCAAAAGAGAGCATCTGATGACTCCCCAGGGGGTCTGGGCGGGAGCCGGACAGGCGAGGGCCGGGCTCGTTTTAAGCAAACAGTCGCACACTTCGTGCTCTTCGACCTCCCAGAACTCCATACCCGGGCCACATTTTGAATGCCCGGAGCCAACTGTAGGCCATTTCGTGCTCTTCGACTTCCCAGAACTCCATTCCCGGGCCACATTTTGGATGCCCGGAGCCAATTGTAGGCCACTTCGTGCTCTTCGACTTCCCAGAACTCCACTCCCGGTCCACATGTTGGATGCCGGGAGCCAACTGTAGGCCACTTCGTGCTCTTGGATTTCCCAGAACACCACTCCCGGGCCGCATTTTGAATGCCCGGAGCCAACCGTAGGCCACTTCGTGTTCTTCCACTTCCCAAAACTCCACTCCCGGGCCCATTTTGAATGCCCGGAGCCAACTGTACGCCACTTCGTGCTCTTCCACTTCCCAGACTTCCAAGACTCATCATCTTCATCATCATCATCGTCCCCGTAGCCTTCTTGGCTACAGCCCTGCTTTCGAAGATTTCCTTTC